GGGTCCGGGCTGGGGATTCGAACCCGCCACCTTAGGTGTACGTGGCTGGCGCCTTAGCCGGTTGAGCTATAGGCGCCGAGCCCAGGATTTCTTTTTTAAAAAGCAAACATATCAATTGGATGGGTATGCTATGAGTTATAGCTATTGCTATCAATAATAATAAAATGAGAGTGGTGCCTATGGCTCAAAGGAATAGGGCACTGGCCCCATGTGCTGGAGGTAATAGGTTCAAACCTAGCCCCAACCAAAAAATAATAATAATAATAATAAAATGAGAGTGTTGAACTGGTTTTTTTTTTATTTATTTTTATTTTTGTTTATTAATTTTTTTTTGCAGTTTTTGGCCAGAGCTGGGTTTGAACCTGCCACCTCTGGCATAAGGGCTGGCGCCCTACTCCTTTGAGCCACAGGCGCCACCCTATTTATTTATTTTTTGCTGTTTTTGGCTGGGGCTGGGTTTGAACCTGCCACTACTGGCATATGGGGCTGATGCCCTACTCCTTGAGCCACATTTTTTTATTTGTTTGAGACAGAGCCTCAAGCTGTCACCCTGGGTAGAATGCTATGGCATCACAGCTCACAGCAACCTCCAACTCCTGGACTCAAGTGATTCTCCTGCCTCCACCTCCCAAGTAGCTGGGACTATAGGCCCCCACCACAATGCCCTGCTATTTTTTGGTTGCAGCTGTCATTGTTGCTTGGTAGGCCCTGTGTGGATTAGAACCTGCCAGCTCAGGTGTATATGGCTGGTGCCTTAGCCACTTGAGCCAGAGGTACCAAGCCTGTTGAACTAGTTCATTGCCAATGAGATCTTGCATGCTAAGATGTTGTCTCTCCATTAATAACAGAAGTCTGGCTGCCTCACTGATTTCATTATAAGTCAAGGGAGGAATGGGAGGAAATGAACAGTTTCACTCCAAGGGCTCTCACAGTATGAACTTGGATCTCAGCCAGTGTGGGCAGTGGGGCTTCCCAGGGTAGGAGACTCTAGGTGGCTGGGAAAATAGGCAGCAACAAGATTCATGGAGCACTTTTAATTTCATTGTTTCTTCATTCCTTCAACAAATATTTATTGAGTACTATGTTCGAAGCACTGTACTAGACTCACACTCTGTCCTCATGGAGCATTAACTCATGAGGGAGCCTTTCCTGTGTCCCTCAATGCTGGTCCCATCAAGGCCAAGTGGTCAGCACTAATTCCTTTCTGGGCTGTTTGCACAGCTAAAGTGGAAGAACTAGTAGAGGGCAGTGGTTCTCAAAGTGTGGTCCTCAGACAAGAAGTATCAGGACCCATGTGGGAACTTATCAAAATATAAATTTTCAGGCCCTAATATAGATGAGCTGAATCAGAAACTCTTAGGGTAGGGTACAGTAATCTGTATTTTATAACAAGATCTCCAGGTAATGCTAACATCTGAGAACACTGGTAGAGTGATTAAGTGTGTTTGCTCTGGTGTCAGACTGTCCATTTGGAATTTCAACTCTACTATATGAGCTGTGTGATTTTGACCAAGTCATTGAATCGTTTTGTGCTTCAATTTTCTCATTTGCATAATCAGTATAATTATGATTGCCTTTAACTATTGCTGAGTATCAAAACATATCAAGAGCTTAGCATATAATTTCAATTCTGGGAACATATACTGTGGACATAGTCTTTTTTATTCTGAATGATATATGTATAAAGGATATATGTAAAGGATATTCATTGATGCATTGTTTTAATAGGCAAGAAACACACTAAATATTTATTGGTAGGGGACTAATTTAAAAAATCATGGTCCTGGCTGGATGCAGTGGCTCATGGCTGTAATCCTAGCACTTTGGGAAGCTAGGGCAGGAGGATCATTTGAGGCCAGGAGTTTGAGACCAGCCTGAGCACCATAGTGAGACTCCCTCTCTACAAAAATATTGAAAAATTAGCTGAGCATTGTGGCATTTGCCTGTAATCCCAGCTGAGGAGTTGAGGCAAAAGGATTGCTTGACCTCAGGCGATTGAGGTTGCAGTGAGCTTTGATGACATCACTGTACTTTAAACAACAGAGCAAGACTCTCTCTCTAAATACATAAATAATCATGGTCCTGTCATACAAAGAATGAAGCAGCTCTTTATATACTCATATGAAAAGATCTCCAGAATTTCTTTTTTTTTTTTTTT